AACAACCGACAACGGCAAGAATCATCAAAAGCCAGAAGCAAAACAGAAATCGACGACCTGCCCCGCTTCTTCGGACTCTCGTCGGCCTGAACCAAATCCACATGCAAGCAAACCCATCCTGTTACCGCCAATCCCACCTGGCAGAACTGGCAATCCACTTCCTCCTCGGCGTCGTCGTCGTCGACCCAAAAGAATCGAGTCCACCAACTCTCTACAACCATTAACCCAAATGAAGAAATCAAGTCCCTGACAAAAATCGACGCTTTTTGGCCGGCGATCATGGCGTCAAACCGCGTCGCCTCAGCAGAGCAACACGACACAACTTGCAAAGACAACCTTACAGCAAATTTCACCAAAGAAACAAGTCGCAGACCTCAATACAACTCACAGCAAGAACAAAAAACTAAGCCAATAACGTCCCTGGACTCGGCGCATCCTGAAAGCAAAAGATAACAGCACCAAACGGGCTCGCCGAAGCACACACCCTCTTCAACTTAACCTGCCTTATCACTACTTCCCCCACCTCCAGGTCGTCCAGGAGGCTGGCCCAAAATAGGGCCGATTCCTCGTCCGTGCCTTCCTGCCGGAAAACAACAACAACAACAGCAACAGCAACAACAGCAACAACAGCAACAACAGCAACAACAGCAACAACAGCAACAACAGCAACAACAGCAACAACAGCAACAACAGCAACAACAGCAACAACAACAACAACAACAACAACAACAATTACAATTATTGAACGCTGAGCGAGCGGGCTCTGCTCATTGCGGGCGATTTGCACCGTCTGAGCACCGAAAATTGGTTTGGAGCTAATGGTTAGGAGAGGTGAAACTGAATTTAAGACTGAAAGGGTGAGACTGTACAGGACTTAGGATCTGATAGCGGAAAGGCTAGCTAGTGATACTAATTTAGCATACAGTGGTGAGAAGGTCGGCTCCCCGTCGTCCTACTGTGTTTCGCTGCGTCCAGCAAACACGCACCAATCTGCAGTTGGGTCGTACCGGATGGCCGTCTCCCATAGTGTCCATCTTGTGGCGTCCCACATGGATCACTGTAGCTGCAAAGGTTGTTTGTCAAGTAGCTCTTGGGCAAGTCGGGCGGCTTCATCATCAGTTGATGGAGGTGGAGGAGGGGCCCCTGATTTCGGAGTTTCTGGCGGAGCAGGAGCCACAGACTTCGGAGCTTCCGGAGCAGCTGGAGATTTTGGAGTTGCTGGAGGGGGAAGCATCCCCGCTTTCGGGGCCGCCGGTGGTTCCGTCATCGGACCCAGAGCTCGAGCCAAAACCTGCACTTCATGCCCTACCAACGCAACAAATGCAAAGGCAGAACGAAACAGTGCAGAGCTTTTGCTCAAAGCTCGAAGCACGATGACGGCTGCCGGACTAGCAAAGTCTAGCAAACTAGTCGAGCAAGATGTGACACGCACTAAAGGCGTTCACACCACAAAAGGCAGCTCACTGCTCATTGGGTAGCTTGAAGACGTTGGGCAAGGAGTGCTGGCAGGAGACTGCGTGCTGTCGAGGTTGGCAGCTACCGGCAAAGTGTTTGCCGCAACTGCCACACGCGAACTGATTCGCATGACTCTCCTTTTCATGGGCTAGCAAATCTCGGCGCTTCTCGAAACGGGCACCACAGTGGAAACAAATGGGGATCGCGCCCGAGCCTCTGCCGCCACGCTCAGGCACAAACATGCCCGGCCGATCGTTTACAAGCTCCCACATTACGCAATCCTAGATTGGACAAGAAAAGCTGCGAAATTGGATACACCAATCACACAGCAAAACGGTGCAAGGCACTCACAGCAAAATGCTGTTGGGGGACACTGCAGCACTAGGCTGGGGTGTTTTCCCCCCACAACAACAACAAGAAGAACAAGAACAAGACCCTTTCAGAAGAGCAAAGGCAAAAACCCTCCAAGAGTGGCCAACATAGCCTCCAAGACCCTCTAAGAGGGACCAACATAGCCTCAAGGGCCCTCTAAAAGGGGCCAACGTAGCCTCCAAGCCCCCTAAGAGGGGCCAACATAGCCTCCAAGACCCTTCAAAAGGGACCAACATAGCCTCCAAGACCCCCCCAAGATGGGCCAACATAGCCTTCAAGACCCTCTAACTAGAGACCAGCATAGCCTCCAAGACCCTCCAGCTACAGGCCAACGTCTCTCTAATAAGGGCACCAACAAAGCCTCCAAATAACCTCCAAGACCCTGTAAGAGAGACCAACATAGCCTCCAAGACCCTCTAAACGGGGTCAACATAGGAGGCTAATGTTGGCAACTCTTAGAGGGTTTTTGCCTTTGCTCTTCTGAGAGGGTCTTGGAGGCTATGTTGACCCCGTTTTTTTTTAGAAAACGGGCCAGCAGGGGTCCAGCCGGGCCAGAGGCCGAAGCCACAAAAGGGGGGGTCAGGGCGGGTAAGGGGGGAAATGAGGGGGTGAGAGGGGGCTTTGTTGACGTTTTTGGCCCATTTTCCCCCTGGCCCCCCTGAAGGCCCCTTTCCCCTATCCCCCGACCCCTTTCGCCCTCTTGCCAAAAAAGCCTGTCAGAGGCCACGCAAAAACCTCTGAGGGCCTCCAGGGGCCCTGGTTCCTGGAGAGGCTGAGGTGAGGGGACGTCCTGGTGCATTGGGGGCCTTGGGGTACCCCCCCCCGAAGCGGTACTCGTGGGTGCTACCGACCTCCTGAGGCCGGCAAGCGACCTGGGTCGACTTTCGCCATACAGGTCGACGGGCTTAAGCGCCGCCCCCCCTCTGTAGGGGGGCGGCCTAGGCCCTGAGTTTAGGGTTTAGGGTTTAGGGTTTTTTTTGCCACCCGTCTAGCAATGCTCCACGGGGCTTAGGGTTTAGGTTCCGAGCATTTTTCGGGGTTGAGGCCTTCCACAAGCTTAGAGGCTTTGCGGTTTAAGGTTTAGGGTTTTAGACCCTGGAGGGACTCCGGAAATTTTCGGGGTGAACTTTTTTTGGGGGTTCCTGTAATTGCGACAGAAGTATGTTGGGGTATCCCTACTCTGGGAAATGCCCCATATCCTTACGCCTTGGACCAAAATTATGTGTGAGGGCACCTGAGTTAGAACATCATACGCAGCTGGAAGCAGCAACCACAAACCCAGTACCGCGGAGCCGAACTCTGCACCTGAGTCGTTGAGGTCTGGTCCGTCCCAACAGAACATCAGCAAACCCATCGCTGAGCCGGTCAATGCCTTCCGTGGTAGCCCAACAGCCGTGAGTAGCCATATGATAATAAGGGTAACCCTTTCATTAGGGAATAGACGCGCGAAGAACGAACTCCCAGCCGCACTCGCAATCCTGACACCCTCGAACTTCAGCCCTGCAGGGTTTAGGGGCCCTAAACCCTAAACCCTAAACCCTGGGGGCTGAGGGGTTTAAGGTTTAGGGCAGCCGGAGCTCACTCAAGTTTCTGAACAACTGCCAGACAAGGAGCTGCAGACTCGGTCTGTTGCTTCCGGCCCGGAACGGGCCGTGACTCCGCAGCCCCCGGGGGTCTTGCCGGAACCTGGCTGTCTTCAATTGCTTGGCCCTTACCAAGCCCCTGAACCCTAAATCCTAAACCCTAAACCTCTGAGAAGGAGCTTCCCTACATGCTCTTGAGCATAGTAAGGACGCTCAGCCGCAAGGGCGCCAACGGGTGTTCATTTGTCTGGGGAACTGCTGATTCGTTTTGGATGTCTTAGTTGGTTCCCTCCACATCCCTCCACATTCTAATGGGGAAACCTCCAGTTCCTCTACCGTTCTACTAATTTTCTCTATATTTTGCCAAGAGAATCTGTGTGTTTATGCTGAAACTTCTCATCTTACGAAGAAATCCTTTTTCTGCTCGTACTTGTTGCTGCACTATGAAAAGTGGATAGGCTCCTTGTTTTGGTAGGAAAGCGTCTACTTCCTGCTAACCTGCATTTTCTTTACCAGCTTCAAAAAATAGAATGAAGCAACACGGACAGAAAGCGGAAGTAACAAGCGGAATGGACGGCGCTTGGGTAATCAGAGCGGCTTCTTTGGAACTCAACATATTTTCGCTGCAAAGGTGTTGCAAGGGGATAAAGCCGGTGATTATGTACACTGTCCCGTATTGGTCTGGGTATGAGTTTACCTTCGACATGGAGGCTTAACTCGGATCCTGGCCCAAACCCCAAACCCCAAACCCCAAACCCCAAACCCCAACCCCCCCCCCCCCCCCCCCCCCCCCCCCCCCCCCCCCCCCCCCCCCCCCCCCACCCCCCCCCCCCCCCCCCCCCAAAGCCCGACATAAACACCAAAACCATCAAAAACCTAAACCCCCCCCCCCCCCCCAAAAAAAAAAAAAAAAAAAAAAAAATATATATATATATATACATATATATATATAATTTCTAAATCTCAACGGGCCTGTGTTACTCTCTGAGAAAGGATGCCCAGGATGCCAACAAAAAGCCTTTGAATTGTTGAGCTCCGGGCCTTGGAAGCCTACACTGGGCCGACGATATAGGGCCAGTCACAGCAGATCGGTTTAGGGTTTAGGGTTTAGGGTTTAGGGATATCTCACGCTTCTTTTCAGGGTTTGCGTAGCAATCAAAGTTCTTCCTGTCCCAACCCACTCCCAAATCTGAAGCCCTGCGCCCATTTGGAACGCAACTGCGTGGGTTGCTTGCATTAAACAAAACTATACTGGCCTTGAGAAGAAAACAGCAGTTTTGAAGTGATTTATTTCGACTCCTATACTACAAGGCCTCAAATCCCTAAACCTTCTTGGAAAAATCCCTAAACCCTAAACCCTGAACGCCTTGCCTTGGCCTTGGGGGATGGCTTGTTGAGCCTTTTGCTCGGCGCCGTCGGCGGCGACGGCGCCGCGGTTTGCCTGGCTCCCCAGAGCAAGATTGTTCAGGGTTGAGGGTTTAGGGGATTGCTTTTAAGGCTTGCGCAGTTTGTCGATCTTACCCTAAACCCTCAACCCTAAGCCCTACACCCTAAACCCTAAACCCCTGGAAAAAGGAAGGAAAAAGGTTGCTATTGGAGTCCGCGGTGCGGAGGAGCCTCGTCACCGCCGCTACTCTCGCTGCTGCTGCTGGAATCCGCCAAACGGCTGTCCCCCAATGTGTGGCTCGCTGTAAAGATACTGGACGCAACACAACTCGAGTGCGCATCGTCATCATCCTCTACAGTGCGAAGGTTCTTGACGCCCATGGAGAAAAGTTTGAAGCGCCTCATCTCGGGCGTCTTCCGCTTGAGAGTCACCTTTGACCAAGTATCTTTCGCGGTTTGCCGCTCGAAGTAAGTAGAAACCATGTCGGAGAACTCGTCGCAGTTCAAGCCGCCATCTGAGTCAAAGTCGAAGCCTTCCACCATGGTTACAGCCTTAGAAATTGCTTTTCCGCTGACCTTCAGCCTAGAGCCTGACGCGCATTGTGCACAAAGCCAAACAAGCTTGACCCATTCTACCCTACCCCTAGATCCTAGACCCTAAACCCTGAACTCAATCTTCTATATCTTCTATAATAAAGGTCTCCGGGTAACCTCGGCCTCGTCGAGTTCGGGAAGAATCCGTCGAAGGTCCCCCACCGTGATCTTGCCATCCATGTCCTGGGTTTAGGGTTAAGGATTGCGGCCTAAACCCAAAACAGCTTAATGTTCTCTACCTGAAAGCGATAAACCCTACATACCTTCAGGGTTTGAGCCCAGGAGAAGTCTGCTTGATCGGGTTCTTTCTTTGGCTTCTTCGCGCAATGGTGGTTTAAGAAGGGAACCTTGCCCGAAGAGGGGAAAAAGGTACCCTAACTAAACCCTAAACCCTAAACCCTCAACCCTAAACCCTAAACCCTAAACGCGAACCTTCGGGCTGCAGACGAGTCTCCCGGTCGACCACGCGGAAGCCAGCTTGAATTACTCGCTTATCCAAGCCGGTGGCCTCTTCGTGGGCTAAGCTACCGGTGCCTCACATTCTAGCCGCTAGCATAATGAAATAGAAAAAAATGGGATAAGAATTACTAACAGTATACTATCCCAACAAATATAACAGAAGAAGAATGTAATGGTAAGAGAATACATCATATGCAGAAACATATACTAGGATCATAATATCGAAACACAATCAAAACAACATAATTAAGAAACACTATAAGAACATAGTAATGTAGAAATATAATCGGAATGGCTCAGTTCAGTCTCAGCCCAGGCTCAGCTAAGGGGTTCGGGAGGCAGAGCCATGAGCTATTGCCCCTGTGAGGCTTGGGCCCCTCACTGGCCAGCTTTTACCGTGTCGCGAATGAGACATCCACACCAGGAGGTGCACTTGAAAATCAATGACTGATGCGTGCATGCGTGCATGCATGCATGTGCATGCATGTGCGTGTGTGTGTGTGTGTGTGTGTGTGTGTGTGTGTGTGTGTGTGTGTGTGTGTGCGTGTGTGTGTGTGTGTGTGATGCCTCGTGTCGAGGTCTACACTGAAGAGGTTCGGGCACCGGTCGCTTAGCCAATACCCCCGGTAGTACAAAGAAGCACTGGCAGAGTTCTACTGCAAGACCAGCTTCGGGCAACTGGCAAAAGGGTTCATATTAGTATATCATAGCATATTACAGTATATTACAGTATATCTTATCATAGTATATTGTATTATAATATATTATAGTATCTTGTACTTTATTGTCACCCTTTTATCGCGTTCAGCATCGACAGCCAGACCAAAGCTCAACCGCCTGCAGCCCTAAATCTTTGTCAGGTCCAAGTGCTGTCCATATATACTTTTGACATTATACATATATATATATACACGTATATGTATATGTATATGCAATATAATTATAATATGCTACAACACAATATAATACAAAAAAACACACCAATGTGAACATGATGCAGATATACCTAAATATAAACAAACACAATCTACATATGAATAGAAGTTTCAAGAAGTAAACTCACTATATACATACATATATATGTATATATGTACTCACCATCATCATCATCATCACCATTAGCACCATCATCATCATCATCACCATCATCATCATCAGGATCAACAGGCCTGCAGCATCGCGCCCTTGAAGGTTGACAGCTCCAGAGCGCCGACGCCATCCGGATCCACCTTTTAATACTGATAGCTCCTTTACAGGGATTATAAGGGGGGGAGGGGGCGGTCTCGGTCCCGAAGCCCTTTGAGCCTCAAGCAGCGGGGTAAAATCTTAGGGCGCAAAGCGCTCTTGTCCAACAGGCGATTCATGCCGGCTAGGGGATTAGGGCTAAGGGCTCAGGGTTCAGGTAAATGGGGAGCCCCAACCATGCCTCGAGAAGAAGCGCCCGCAAATTCGGCATCTCGGCCGTTGTCCCGAAGGCTTGCTCCAACGAGCACCTGGTCTTCGTTTGCATGGTTCTCTTGTCGTGAGAAGAATCGCTGTCTTGTCCACTCGGAAGTCTTGAGGCTTACCATCCTTTATCTGGTGTTTAGGGACGTAGTATCATGTCGTGCTCCCTATAATACAAATATATGATGACATGGCAGATCTCGCATGCTGTAGCTCTTCTACCTTGTAGTTCTTGAAAGGATTCAATATGAGTTCCCCGGGATGCACTTTCTTTTTTTTACCATTCGCCCTTGATCTATGCGCTCTCTTCAATGAACCCTATATACGAAGGCGAGTTTTTAAATGATGAATTTCACGGCAGTCAGCTTGGTGATCCAGGAAAAGACCGCAAATGTGATTTTTTACAGCAATTGAGCTTGTGCATGCCAAGAACAATAAGATGCAAAAGACATGTCTCCAGTAGTTACCCGTTACATCGGTCGGCCCCTGGATTCTGCTAAAAGAGCCAAGTACATGAAAGATGAAGGCAAAAGGCGGTTCGCAGGCTCACTATATCTTCGGCGGTCTGTCTGTTCATTGAGAGGCAGTAAGGAAAAACGATGTGAACCCTAAACCCTAAACTACTATTTGCTTAAGAACCCCCCCCAGCCCCCACAAAAAAATTGGAAAAAGAACCCCTATATTGCCCTTAGAAGGAAGAATTACGGCTTAACATCCCCAAAGAAATGCCCAAGCAGTAGGCTGCAACTAAAAGAATCCCAAACCCTAAGCCCAGCCGCCGAATCCATCGGCTTAGGGGCTGTGAGGGTTTAGGGTTTAGGGTTTAATCCAACAAAGCCCTGACTCCTCCCTGAACTCCAAAGCCCCTGGAAGGAGCAAGGTTTCGGGTTCAGAAGACATACTTCCTAGGAAGACGATAGCACAGCCTGTGAGCACCAAGAGGCTGAAGGTCGGCTGGCGTGATGAGGCCGTCACAATCCCTTAGGGTTTAGGGTTACGGTTTAGGGTTTAGGGTTTAGGGTTCAGGGTTCAGGGTTCAGGGTTTAGGGTTAGATGGGCCAAGCAAGATGTGGCTTGGGGGCTGATGGGGAAGAGCCGGGCCTTGCTGAGGCCCAACCCGGCAACCTTCAGCCTGCCTTCTGCATCCGCGTTTTAGGGGTTTTGGGGGGTTTGGGGGTTTCGGGTTTTTGGGGGTTTGGGGGTTCTGTCAGAACCCTGAATCCTTGACAGCTTGGTGGGATATACTCTGAGCATCCTGAGAGGTCGTTGGCCTTCTTGGCTAGGAATCTCCAGTCTGGCATCGTCGAGGTTAGTGGGTAAGGAGCGACAAAAAACTGAAGCGGACACGCCGTCCTCTACTTTTTATGGTCACATATTGTGCGTGCCGTTCACCCTTCGGGATTTCGGCCTTGGGGCCTCATTCCGTTTGCACGGGTTAGGGCTGAGAGCTTGTGCCGTTGGCGTTCTAGGGCCTAGGGCTTCGGAATCTGAAATTCTGGGCCAATCGTCGGCTGATTGGCACTTTGCAACCAACCTGGAGCCTCCTTTGTAGAATATCATGTTGCCATTTCCCAAAATATGGGAACTCCTAATATACCCCCAAATATACTTATCCTAATAATAGGAACCCCCAAAAGGGGTACCCCCTGTTTTCGGAAACCCCCCATGTAGGAATGCAGCCGATGTGCGCGTCCAATGTGACGAACAAATTCTCGTTGCCTCCTCTCTGCCTGATTGCGGCTACATGGGTGCAATGAATTCGGGGGGGTTGGTATCCCGTTTGGTAATTACTGTAGGATGGCTTTAGTGCGGTCTATAGGGCTACTCCTATTTCGGGAAACATCCAAGTCAGCAATATACTTGGGTTGAAGTCACGACCATTGCTACCGCCAATGCACGCACCCTAAACCCTAAACCCTAAAACCTAAACGCTGAACCCTAAACCCTAATGCTGCTTGCGAGTCCATCAGCGCTAGCAACCTTAAACAATACGAAGCCATTTGTTGGCAAGGGGGAGCTCGGGGATGCTGGCAGAAAGCTGCCAGAGACAAGATCTACACAAATATCTGACCTGTGCCATGGCCAAACTGCCGAAGACTGACACAAACGCCCGAGCCCACGACAGCGCACAGGAAGAAGAGCGATACCGGAAGCGATGTAAAGTTTTGATGACCCGACAGCTACCCCTGTAAATCCTAAACCCTAAACCCTTACAAATGCTTGCCGTGGCGCTCAGCAATCGCTTGCAGCGCAACTCGCTCGAGGCAGCTGGCATCCGCGAAAGCCCTGCAGCTTCAACAAATGGGGTGAACATGTAATCCCCTCCCCCTAATATTAAAACCCCCCCTACCCCCTTATTTTGAATACCCCCATTATAGTTACGTTATAGTAATGTAGTTCCCCCCCTTTGAACTAACAGTCCTCAACAAGGAGTATAGCCACAAAGCTTGAAGTTCTTTTTGCTTGTTGCTTCCGATCTCTTGCTTGTCGCTGGGCATAGGCAACCGAAACCCTGCGTCAAACATGAAGGGACATGCAAGGCATCCCAGTATCCCAGACCCATCTGGGCAGTCAAAGCCACTGAAGACGCTGCAGAAGGTTATCCGGCACGGCCGCTTCCTGCTTTTGGCATTTGCCAAGAGGGGTCTATGCCCTTTAGTGACGTCCTGCGTTTACATAGGAGTCTCCACATATGCTGCTTAAGTGCACACCAGTCCTTCCAAAAGATGACCCCTGAGCCTGAGGGGATTCAGGGCTCAGGTCCTTTCGCCCTTTTCCCCCAAACATCCACAAAACCAACCCTAAACCCTAAACCCTAAACCCTAAACCCTAAACCCTAAACCCTAAACCCTAAACCCTCCCCCCCCCCCCCCCCCCCCCCCCCTTGCGCTCTCCTTCGGCTGCATCCTCGAGGCCTCCAGCCACGGATGGCCCAGAGCCTCTTCCGCTGTCCACCTCGCCGAGGCTGCAGCTGCCAGTTGAGCATTTTGTTCTTTCATTGTGTGGGCTCTTCTCATGGCATTGACATCCTACGCGGGCCTACGCGTGAACTCATGTTTAGTAGCCGCGCGGCCTACGCGCGGAGTATGTTGTTGACGCGTGCCTACGCGGACCTATGCGGCAGGCACTCGGACAAAGCGCAAACGCATTATTTGACTTGCTATATTGTAGCCACTGGCACATTCGGATTACTCAACCAAACTTTCTGCCCAAGCCTGCCCGAATTGTGATGTTGACGGATGGGCTACGACGTTGAAAACGACACCTACGACTACGTGCGGGCTACGCGGAGCCTACGCCGCGCCTACGCGGAATTCCTACTTATGTATGCAGTTATACATAGGGATATTTCGATATACATATAGATACATTTTGTCATGAATATAAATATAAACAGAAATATGAAAATATTCTGAATCAATATATATATATATACATTTAGTGATAAAACCATATAGTTACAGTTATATATATATATATAAATTAAACCAACAACCTACGCGGACCTACGCGGACCTACTGCGTAGACTTGCCTACGCGGACCCTACGCAGACCTACGCCCTGCAGGCAAAATGCTACGCGGCCGACTTTCAATGTTCCGTCTCTGCGTGGCCTTGCTTGTGGAAAACGCTGCTCAGTTGAAAGTCAGGGGAGCCCCCCTTTTGGGTTTAGGGTTTAGAGTCAGTTTAATGTTGTCTGCTGATTAGTGTGCCCCCGCCCCCCCCCTCTCCCCCAACAAATGGACTCCGCTCTTTAGTGTGGGGGGGGGGGAATTTGGGGGGGGGGGGGGTCTGGCTTTATATGATTTTAAAAGGGATGAGTTTATATGAATTCAAAAAGGGATCCATATGATTTTAAAATGGATGAGCTCGTATGAATTTAAAACGGGATCCATATGATTTTAAAAAGGGATGAGCTCGTATGAATTTAAAAGGGATCCATATGATTTTATGAGGGATGAGTTGATGTGAATCTAAAAGGGATGATATGATGTCAAAAGGGCTCCACATGATTTTAAAAGGGATGAGTTTACATGAGTTTAAAGGGGATCCATCTATCCCAACCAAGCCAGCCCGCAAAAAAAATTATAATTCCGGGGGAGCAAACTTTTTGTATTATACGGCATTCGGGCAGCTACTGGACTACCCCCTTTGAAATTTGATTGCCCGGCCTCGGTACAAACGAATTTAATAAGGAAATCTTAGTTTTGGGGCTGGCCTGGAGATTGAAGATTTCAGGGCCCGACAACCTCAGGCCTCAAGGTTCAGGCTTTACACCTTTGATCTTTGGTCTCTCAGGCTCAGTTCAGAAACGATTTGTAGACACCAGCCTCGCCGAAATTTTGCATCGCCCGAATTTTTTTCACAATTCCGAGGGACCTCCTCAAATAGACCCCCCTGAATAACTATTGGATTTTTTTTCACAACTCCGGGGGGGCACACTAATCAGGATACAACATTAGGGAGTCCTTAGTAGGGATTCTAGTACCGCCTATTATAGTCCCTAAATATCCCTATTTACGGGCTGTTAGCCTAAGGGGTCATCGCCGATCTTCACGTGTTCAGCACATACTTACTATGCCAGCGCAGCCCCCACATGGTGATCGACCGTGTGGGGCCCAGACGTCCAAAAGTGACGACATTTTCTCATTTTGCGAACACAGACACCCCGAAAGCCACGACTTGGTGAACACGGACGCCCAAAAGTGACGGCGGTTTTCGCATTTGGAGAACGCAGAAAGGAAAAAAAACCATGACAGTTGCGAAGACGACAAGCGGGCACGCCTGTGCCTAGGCGAGAGCCCGATCTTACTCCAAAACGCGAATAGGCATTGAAAACAAGCATGGTCCCCACCGTGTGCACCGCTGTGCGCACGCGGCGCGGCAACATCTACCCACCCCTGCTAACCCCTTAGTGTGTTGACACGCAGTTTGAGGAATTGTTATGGCTCTGATAGCAGCAGCCCAGTAGCTGGCCATTACACAATGATAAAGCCCCAAAGCCTCGCAACTGTCCTTAAGCCAGGATAGCTGCACAGCTTTCAGATTGGGAGTTGGAACCCTCTTCCTTTGCACGAATCGGCCTAACAAGGTCCTAAAGTACCCTTTTTGCCCTCATTCCCATTCCCAATGCACGGCCTTGCGACAGGATCGCGACGAAGGATGCGCCCACAAAGGCAGCGTGACTCGGGCGAGTGCCCTATCCAAGCCTGGATTTCGGGCTGCTTCAGAACAAAGCAAGAATTCGTGTGGGAACGAACATTGAGGGACCTTCGAGGCTTAAGACTAAACCTTGAAGCCCGAAAACCCTAAACCCGAAACCCTGACCCCTAAGCACCGGGGGGGCTTTAGGGTTTAGGGTCTAGGGTTTATGGTAGTCCTCTAAATTAAGGTTCGACGATAGCTGGATGAGGGAAGGCTCGAGGGACAGCACGGGGACTGTCAAGTGAGCTGATAAACATCTTTTCCGAGCTCACTGGCACCATCTTCTCCGCCCAAGCGAGGATTGGGCTCAATAAAGGGATGCGACTGCAAAACGTGCGTGGCGCTTGTCTGTGAGCTTGCCACCATCCGCACTCTTCAGCCAAAGGTACGCTTGCGCCGAGCAGTGATCCAGAACATACACCTCGATGCCTTCCAGAATGCTCAACTTTGAAAAGCCCCTGAGCATCTGAACAAGATACACCTCAGAGCCATAAAAGGTGTTCCCAAAGACGGCATCTCCTTCCACAAGCTCCACACGCGGAGAGGTGATGTGAGACGGGCCCTGTGCCAGTAAGTAGGGCAAAGCTCGGGCGCGCCTTTCAGACATGTGCTGAACATGCTTCCCGGGGTTCTAAGATGTGAGCCCCACCTTCGACTGACGGCAACAGCAGAGACCAGCGCCAAACCATGTCCGCACAAGCCCCGCGTCCACATGTCATCAGCGGCGCCGAAACAACGTAAGCCATTAACAAGGACTGAATCAAATTTTGGGGTCCTTCTTGCTTAGTTGCTGAGTTCATAAGCCCCCCAAAAGTGTACACTTTCAGTTCTATTGGGGATTGTAGTATCCCAAAAAGGTGTAAAGTGTACTCACTGCCGTACAATGTCGGGACCCATAAAGAGAACTTCTTTTTGAGATAAACTGACATGGTTTCAGGGCTTCAGGTGCAGGATATGGGTTCCGGGCTCAGGGTTTACGGCATTTTCGGCCTAAACCAAAAAATGGCTGAAGACGTCTAACAGCAAGGGCCGCTTATATAACAAATAGAATTTCATAATTGACATCAATGCGAAATCGAATACAAAGTATACTACAAATATAAACGGGTGTCTCTCGTAGACTCTCTACAAACTCTGATCTCGCTTTCATTCACGCTCCGGCTCAAAGAGGCGTACAAAATCCCACTGTGCACGAACGCGCGTGTGGCAAGTAAGGGGCTTTTCAGGTGTGTTTCGTGGGGGTTTTGGCTTTAGCGTCGGTGAAAGGGAGGCTGCAGGCCTCCCGAGACAGATTGTGAAGGAGGCACAGTGGGGTTTAGGGTTTAGGGCTTAGGTTTTTTTTGCCACCCGTCTGCAATGCTCCACAGGGCAACTGAAGAGGGAATGCTGTGTAGGGTTTAGGGTTTAGGGTCTAGGGTTATCCATGCCATGGGTGTCTAAATCAAATCTGAAATCCTTGAACCCTCGGACCCTCAACGGCCTTCAGCAACAATCCGAGAGGCAGTGTCGTCCATGGGCTTCCGGGGCACGGATTGCCCCGTGGCCTCGATCAAGGACCCAGCTTCGGGGGTTGTCGGAGAATGAGGGCTTAGGGTTAGGGTTTAGGGGGTTTTGGTGGGTTTAGGGTTTAGGGTATTTGTGGGGGAAACTCTTTGAGCCACTGAACGAACTGCTCCAACTCAGCCAAGATACGCTTGCGATCGTGGACTTGCCTAACACGCGGCTAATGTCGCAAACGAGGCCGCGCATGAGGCGCCTGGGCAGGTCGGAGAGGGCATCTCTCTACCGGAACCCCTGCTCGGGAGGTTCGTGGGCATTATAGGTATGGTAACCATGGTTGTGCTATAACCTTATTTAATTCGGGTACTCACAACCCTACTTACAAGTGCCCATGAAGCTCCAAGCACATCCTGAGAAGCAAAAACCCTGTTGACGACGCACTCATGCCCTAAATTTCCTGTGCAGAAAGGGACGCTGTGGGAGGGCACTTCTTGTGTGCTGAGAAGCTCTGGGGCCGGTCTTGAGCACTCTCAACCCTCCAAACTCCGATCCTTACCACCCGCCAAAAGAACTTTCAGTTGGGCAACGATGTTCTCCGCAGGTCTCAGATTCCTACCAAGCATGTGGGTTTGTGCCCTTTGAAGTCCCCCAAATGCCATCCAGGTATGAGCCTTCATTCGGCGTAGAGGCAAAACGCCATGACTAGTCATACATAACTCCTGGGATGTTCTGCGACCTTCCCCTATCGTATACCCCGGGGGGGCCAGAAGGGCCAGCGGGGCGGGAGGGGGAGGGGGGGTCAGGGGGGGCCAGGGCCCCTCCCAACCCTTAAAACCCAACCACGCTTTTATGCATATATATATATATACACATATATATATACACATATATTCCTACCCCCCCCCCATGGTTAGAATAGTAAGCAATAGCTCATCTTAGGGCAATTTCTCTCCACCCCGGGAGGTCTCGCGTTGCCAGGCGGCCCCAGGCCCCAAATATCGCTCTTGTGGGGCCCGGCATCTTGCGTCCTCGGTTTTTTTTTGTTTTTTAATGGGGAGGTCTAGGGGTCCCCACCTTAAACTAACGTCCTTAATAGGGATTCTAGTGCCCTCTCTGATGATCCCTATTCAGGAGCTGCGAGTATAAGAGGGAGCATCCCAGGGTCGACCCCTAAACCCCAAAACCTCAACCCTAAACGGGGCTTAGGATCCAATTTTTTTGACTCTAGTTATCGATTGGTAAGCTTGGCCCTGTAGGCCACATGATTCACAATCCAGGCAAGCCTTAAGAACCTAAACTCTAGACCATAAACCCTAAACCCCAAACCCTCTTCGTGCCGCAACAACTGCCTCAGTACGAACTTTGGAAGTCTTCGGCCAAACAACTAACAAACTTCATGCGCTGCTCCTTCCAAAGAAGAACAGAAATTCACCACACCTTTTGCGGTTTTCCGACGTTAGGGATACCTTAGCAGAGTCCTTGTTCCGTCGGGGGTCCTACTATTTGGGTGTCTCTCTCAAGGGTTCCTCTCGTACTCTCCCATTTTGGAGGAGCCTAAAGCCCCGACAAAAGCCATTGCCGTTGGGTTTGGAACTGCCTGAGCTCCATTAACTCAAACTCGACTCGCTCTAAACCCTAGACCCTCAACCTTAAACCCTAAACCAACCCTTTTTGAACCCAAACCAAACCTTAAACCCTAAGCCAACCCTTTTTGAACCCAAACTCTGCACCACATCAGCTGGGGCCATGCAACCTCAAACCCTAAACCCCTACCGGCTTGAAGTCATGGCTGCGAGTAGGCGTCAAAGTGCGTGCAAGTGTCGGGGCTGCTCTAAACCTGAAGCCTCAAAGCCCTCAAGCCTCAATCATGAGAAGTGACCTTGAGGGGGGGTCAAACCTATGCCCAGAGCTAGCATGCATTGTGGTGATTGGGCCGGCCTTTACTTCATGCTAGCTTTACCGCCCTTCGTCCCGAAACGAGCCCATCCCACCACAGCATCCGACTGCACACTCCATAACGGGGTTTCCGAAATTAGGGGTACCTTATTGGGGTCCTCATTATAAGGGAATCCTACTATTTGGGAGAGTATAGGGGGGTCCCCGGTTTTCGTAACCTCCCAGAAGTCTTCGCAGGCAAGGGGCATGTCATAGTTGCGGGCGCTCCCGAAATCTGCAACCTTGACCATGCCTTGGCGCGGCGCTGCTCGCAGGATCCCTTCACAACTCTCAGGCTCCCCCTCAGTCTGGGGGGGTCTCTGAGAGGTTTATAAGGCTTTAAAGCCAGCAGAAAAGCCAGCACGATTCAACCCTAAACTCTTTAAGCTTTCAACCAACCATGGTTCAAAAGCGCTTCATGGCTCTCATGAGTGGAGCGTCCCAAACTGCATACCCAAAAGCCCGAAGATGGGGGGGGGGGGAAGGTTCTGCTTCTGCCTTCATGCAGGAACAATCGAAGCACGCCCAAGCCGAGAAAGCCTTGCACTCAACAGGCCCTAAACCCATCGCCTCGACACCCTGGAATCCCTCCCAAATCCTGGCCCTGACCCTGGAACCTAAACCTTCAACCAAGACAATGGACGCAAACGACGCTGTCAGAGGCTGGCCACACTTGCAGACCCCCCCTGAGTCAACAAAAACCCGGGTTCTGAATAACACAAACCGGTCCTGCTCCTCGTTTCCCATGCCCCTTTTGGGTCAGGAGGCTTTGATCCAAAGGCTTGTCTTCCTTGATTAAGACATTTCGCGCTGCGAAGTCGCCATGCGTGATCCCGAGCCTGAAGCATGAAATGTTGGAATTTGAGGTAGGTTGGAATTCTACTGAGACATAACGAGCTGTCTTGGCTCATCTAGGCTCCAGGACTCTCCAGGGTTGAAGATGAGGTGAAGGCTTGGGGGATTTGGGGCCTTCGGGCCTGGGGAAACAAGAAGTGCGCAGGTCCCGGTTGGGCTCTCTTAGCCGATAGCTCCCCATAACAGAAGGGTGCGTGCTTTGCCATGCCATCTTCTGTAGCCCATTTAATCTTGCGCAAATCCGGGCAACTGCATACTCGCATGATCTCCGACAAGGCCCAGCAAGAGTTAACAGACTGCGACTATGCGTAGCCTGACCACACTGCAAAGACGACATCAAATCCTCTTGGCCCCAAACCCTAAACCCTAAACCCTTTTTACGGCTAGGACTGCTGCACTGCCTGCCTGGGACGAACTCTCTGCATTCAAGAAGTCAAGTGCCACTCGCACACGCGCACTCCACTTTCAAACCCTAAACCCTAAACCCTAAAACAAGGCCGCACTCCAAAGGCATCCCTGAGGATGGGCGGCTGGTGCAGGTAGTTCATGGCAGAGAAAAGCTGCTTCATCACCAGCCTTTCATGATTCTGACAAGGCCCTGAATGGATGTTCATGGCTTTTATAAGTAGGGTGAAAAAGTGTGGGAAACTAACCTTATTGGGGGTAGGTATACCCCTACATATCAGTGCCGATGAACCTCCAAGCGGAGAATGCTCAAGGCGCACGCAGGATGGACGTCGTCGTGTCTGCAACTAAACCCTAAACCCTAAACCCTGAACCCTGAACCCTGAACCCTGAACCCTGAACCCTGAACCCTGAACCCTGAACCCTAAACCCTGAACCCTAAACCCTAAACCCTAAACCCTAAACAAACCCCAGCCGAAGGCTGTCCCAGCGGCGCTGCCGTGGACTCCGGCAAGAACTGCTCGGTGCAATCCTCGAGACGTTTCTGCAGATCGCCTCCGGAACAAAGCCTTGGCCAGGTCTTAGTAGCAAAAGCAGTAGTAGTTTAGGGGTTTAGGGGTTTAGGGTTTAGGGTTTACGCTTTAGGGTTTAGGGTTAGGGTTTAGGGTTCAGAGGTTTCGGGTTTAGAGTAGTAGCAACGCCCGGTCTTGGTAGGAAAGGTAAAAAGTAACAGTAATGGAGGGTTCAGGTTTCGGGCTGAGGGTTTTCGACTCTCACAACTAGGGCAAGGGGTTTAGGGTCTAGAGCAAAAGTAATACAAATGGTAATAGTGGTAGTCGTAGTAGCAGAAATAGCTCGAATTGTAGATGGCTTCAGGGCTTGGAGGGAGGTTCTTCTACATTTTGACAACTTTTTTTTGGGGGGGGGGGGACACTTTCCTTAAACGAACCCTGCGATGGAATCGAAGGGTGCTGCTAAAGTGTGGAGTCAAAATCGAGAAGTTGGCTGGTCTTCGGATCTGGCTTTCGGAATTCGAGGGGTTCAGGTTCCAGGTGGAGAGCCTTCAGCAAAAAAAACCTCAGAAGGGTCGGGGCCTCCTCGCTTTCTTAGGCCTGAATACCCTAGCCCAAAAAAAGGTTAACCTTACATACATATATATATATATATAGACATATAGTAGGATTCTATATAATAAACCAAGAAGGTTAAAGGTTGCCGACCCAGTCCCTAGCTTTGTAAGGAAGGGGCCCCCCCTAACCTGTGCTTCTCTGAGTTCTTTGGGGGAAAAGTCCGGGTTCTGGGGCAACCCTCCAAGATCTTGCCCTAAACCCTAAACCCTAAACCCTAAACCCTAAACCCTAAACCCTAAACCCTAAACCCTTGGGAGCAGCCAGCAGGCTCCAAAACGAAGTACATGTTCTCCTTGTCCTCGATGACATCATAGAGTCGGCCTCGATTTTGCAATCCCCAAACATCCCGTATGCAAGGCCTGGCAAAGATACGGAGGACTAAAGGAGGGACCCTCATAATTTAGGGGCTACTTAGGTACATAGGGAGTATTTCAGGTATATATAAGGATCATATCGGGGAATAAGATTAAGGGTACCTTCTAGGGGTCCCTCCTTATACCCCTGAAGATTTAAGATAAGCATTGAAGGCTTGTCGGGCAATTGCTAGTGAACAGTTCTTGGGCTTCGAAGACTGACATGAAGGCAGTCCTACTCGGCATGGAACCAAAAACACAAACTCTGATTCCCACAGGCTGACACAGCCTCACCACACCAAGCATCGAGTTTTTTCATTCCCCATCAACAATGAAACATCTTTACGCTTGCAAAGGTGCAACGCCCCAAACAAGGAAAAAGGCCTGCCCGCAACCTTCCGGAACTCCTCTTGTAATTCGCAGGTTGGTCACCCAAGCTTCACAAGTCTAGGTTGCACTTTCTAAGAAATCCCTTGGGCTTCATGACTTTTCATATGGCATTCAGGGTCTATCCTAGCTTCTACAAGTTCGCACCCCGAAGCTCCTAACCCCAAGAAGCTCTAAAGCTGCAGGGGCCCCCGAGCTGGAAGGCCAGAGGGCAGATGAAAGATTTTATGCACCCTCATGGCACTCTTGGTCGGATACCCTAAACCCTAAACCCTAAACCCTAAACCCTAAACCCTAAACCCTAAACCCTAAACTGACTTTAGGAGCGGTGATGCCCAAGCCACTTGCGGGCTCTTCAGGGTATGCGGTATACAGCTCAAGGAGTTGGTCTTGAAATGCCTTGTGAACCTCCGGCTAAAGCAGCTCAGCGGCAAATACTCGGATGGTCTAGACTTGACATGGTGGCTGCCTCCTGGACTGAGCACAGCTTGTCGAGTCCGCCCCCCAACCAATACCCAAAACCCAAAACACAAGACCCAAAACCCAAAGTATCCCAGAGTCCTGAGAATGCAAAAATGGCACCTCAACACTTGGAATGGGGTAGACCGTTTTTGTGTCTTTCTGAGAGCATACTTGTCCACAATTCGAGTTTGGATACCGAAAAGGGCCTGCAATCTAGATCACTCCCACTCTCGTTTCAAGGCACAGATTCTGGTTCCTGGCTGGCTTGTCCTTATAAACTTGCCAACTTCCAAGGTTTCACCGGGCCCGAACTCCAGATCCAAAGGTTGCGAGCCTGAGCCCAAACAGCCAAAAGACTGTTGCAGTTTCAGTGGCTGCTTCCTGTGCAGGATGCGCGTGAGTGGCGGTTGTTTTTGCAAGTGCTTTCACTCCTGAGTTGTTGGTGATCGTTGCTGTGTGTAGAATGTGGCCTTGATCCCCTACATCTCGCAAAGGGACAGTCACCTGAAGGCCTCGATTCTGAAGATTTGCTTCTGCGCGGGCTGATGCCATGTGTGAGCATCGGAATAAACACAGCTTTGTAAATGCGAATCTTCCGCTTCACTGCTCATCCTGAACCAATCCGTGGCCCTCTAAGCCCCTGGAGCTAGCGAGGAGTCAGAAGCCTTCGAGAACTGTCTCAGGTCTCCCCACACTTATTTGGTGGGTAGGAATAAGGGTCGACGTGAACCCCAAACCCTACAGCACCCTCAGTAGGTCAGCTCCTTCTTCGACATCTGACCTTGCTTCGTTTTGGAAAGCGTTTTCCACGCACGCCGGACACCCGAGATCTTGTCGGTGGCCTTCGACACTGTCCCGAAGCAGCCTGAAGTCGTGGGAACGTTGAGAGAGCATAGTATAGGCTATACAATGTTCCAAATCTGATGTAAGAACAGAAATAAAAAAAAAATATATATATATATATATATATACACAAGCAATGTACTTATCCATATGTATACTTACATGTATATTAACAGTCTATGGTGCGCATCTTATACAATCGATTTTGAATACGACAAATTATACTCTTTCAGGCCTTAAGGCTTGAGAGTTGCCCTTGCCCAGCAGGACAGAATCCCGAGCCTGAAAACCTTCAATTGAGCCCTTGGGTTCTATATGGCCGACAGCCATTCGTTCACACCAACCTTCGTGCTGTGTTCCATCCATGCGCAGCTGACCCCAAACCCATCTCCATGCATGGGGCTCAGGGATTGGGTTTCGGCCCGCACTTTGGAATAGGTGGGTGAGGATAGAAGAGATCTGGGTTTAGGGTCCTGCATTCAGAATGCACACCCCCCATGCCCCCTGACCCACCCAACTCGAGTCGATCTCCGCATCTCCTCACCCTTCCCTTCTGTACCCTCCCGAATTTCAGATTCAGAATCCCTAAAACCCCCCAAAATAACCCTAAAGGCCCCAAAACCCGAACAACTTTAAACCCGAACAGTGCATCTCCTGCCTGCTCCCAAGGCATCTCCCAGCTGATAGCGGTGCAGAGATTTCGCAGTCCGCTTCTGCACCACGAATGATCGAGAGCACATTGTCACGGTACCCTCAACTTCGCAATGTCTAACAAGACCTAGACTTCTAAAGAATCTACAGAAGGCAAAAAACAAGACCGTTAACCACTAGGAGTCATGGGCTTAGTTAGGGCTAAAGCTGTCAATGCTTTTGGGTCTCCGAAGTTCTCTGACTCTAACACTGCACCCGACACAACGTTCGCGCGCTCGCAACTAACAACATTGAAACTCTAAACCCTCTCTGGCGCCTCTCACAAGCCCCGTCTAAAAAAGCCTTCGAGCCAATGAGTTCCAGAAACGGCACAGGGATTTGGTCTGGAATTTCCGTGGGGCAGGCTCTGGGGTTGAATTAGGATTTACAGGAGGGCGGTTGGGTTTCGGGCGTCTGGAAGCACAGCAGGTGCCTTCAGGACAGGATGTGCCGAGTGTCGCGCATAAGCCCAGAATGCCCCTCTTGGGTATTCTGTGCTGATCATAAGTCAGCAGACTTGACTCAGACCTCTGCTACCCAGTCTGAAGCTGTTGGAGCCGCCCCCCACCCCTCCCCGAGGCTGGTGGCCAGGGTTTAGGGTTTAGGGTTTCGGGTTTAGGGTTTAGGGAGTCGTCCACGCTCCAGACATGTGTGTCATCTCTTGCGCCACCCATTGCCCAAAAGCCAAAGCCGCAACCCGAATGGCAAGCTGGGCGCACCGCGTGACGAGGATCTCCGAAAGGGTTTGTAGGCTGCCCGCCTGTCCCAGTCAGGTCTTTTAGCCGGACGACTTCTATGGCGGAAGGTTTTGGAGGGCTCTACCTTGCCTTCTGTTCCCGCTGATACTTCCATGTTATTTTTCTTTCTTCCCGTCTATAGCATTAAGACAAAGCGAGCCAGCCCACAATACAGGCTCTTTTCACTGAACACTTGAGAGTCTGGAATCATCATAACAGAACTCAATGGTGTTACAATACTACAGTAGTAGTCATAACACCAACGGTAGGGTGTCCTGAGTTCAAGAATGTCGATGAAAAGAGCAGAGGCTACAAGTCGCGGAGTGATGCGAGGACAAGGGCGGCAACCTCAAAGGCCCCAGGCATCTGATTCATGAGATCTGGGTACGAATGTGTCTAGCGCAAGAACAACAGGGGTGTGCGGAGCTTGTAAAAGTCGAGGCTAAACTTGCGTCAGTCTAGGATCAACGCCTGAACTTCGAGCACGAACATGCATATCATCATGTGGTATCAAGCCTAACATCCACGCTTTCGAAGTGCCTACAGCACTTTTAGGGGCCACATCTTACACGACTTTTCAGCGACACCTGAAGCAGAATGTAGGGGCTAGTCGACTGGAATGGTTATTTTAGTAGTTATACTACAATTACGTAGGGATTGGAAGAAAAATAGTCTTATAATGTCGGGATGGTTTTGGGAATCGTTTTTGTTTGGCATCTGCGTTAACCATTGATCTCCCAAATTCACCAGGATGCTGCTTTGTGGATCCGCCATCTAGGTGTTCCTTTGTTGATGACAAGATACGCAAGTATATAATGAACTCGTTACACAAATATACACTGACAGGCAATATGAACAAAGTAAAGGAAGGGCTCTGGAAATATACTGATATGAAATTCTCATAATGTACATGAACTTCGGGCCCTCAACCCTAAACATCCCTAAACCCTTTGCCCCAGGTCTCTCTGACCATGCTTAAGCTTTTTTCCCCAGCACTTCGGCATTGCTCCTGCTTGGCACTTCTCGAGGGCCAGGTACAGAACGCGACCTCCCGCAACTCCCCTGCTCCCTGAGGTTTTCGCGCATCTGCGTCGCCGCCAAACCTGGCAGTTTAGGGTTTTCGGGTTTAGGCTTCGGGTTGCTGGCTGTCGCGATTGGCCATGAGTGGTTGGATGACTCCCTATCCCTGTGAAAGCTTATATTCACCGCCTCCCGCCTAGCAGGCCAGCGCCACCGCCCTGGTGTTGCAGACACCGATCCGATGTGCCGATCGTCGCAGAAGAAAGCCGTGCTCTGTCGATTGCCGACGGCAAGGAGGCGGTGCCATCGAGTGGGATCGAGCTTCCTCCAAGGAAAAGGGGTGGTCACGAGCCCGTCTCTCGGGGTGAATACGCCTATCTCGCCTGACCGGGTGAGCAACAAGAAGCCATGCCGGGCATCGCCCGACTTTGCAACGGCCAGCACAAACTGCTCTGGAGGGTAGATGCAGAACTTCGCCCGGCTCTGCCATAGGCCTGGGCTGCTTTGCTTTTATTCCAGCCCTTCCGGCCCTGCATCCGGAATCCATGTTTTTTACGGCTTATAGGGAGGTTGGTTGGGTCTTGAGCTTTCTAAATCATCCTAAACTTTTGCTGAAGAAACCCCCCCCCCCCGCCACCCCAAAATGAGAGATAATCATCCCTCCCTATGTTGCGCTTATGTTTTTTTTTGCGGGGGGGGGTTCTTAAGCAAGCAGTAGTAAACCTTCAGCCCGAGAACCTTTTTGCAGAACAAGAGCCCCAGAAGATTTGGTCGGTCTCCGAGTCGTTGCCATCCATGGGCCACCTCCACAGGGAACTCCTCTCGCCTACGTTTTGGCCCTTGAAAGCCTTCTGACCTGTATTCCTCACGAAAAGCCCTCTTAAGCCTAAGAATTCGACTTTAGTTGCTGTTGAGGGGGATGCGTGGACCTCTGGTCCCAACGCAAGAATAGGGTTCGCAATGTAAGTTGCAAGCTCTTAGGGCTTATGACCCTAAACAGTCGACAGCTGAGGGTTGAGGCGGTGCTGCATGGGGTTTGGGGTTGGTTCCCTTTAGGGTTTAGGGACATCTCTGCCCTTCCACTGGCCTGCCGGTACTGCAAGGGCGCCAGTCTGCACTCAACGCCCAGCTTGCACCAGGTGGCCGAGACTGAGGATGGTCGCTTAAGGAGGCTCGCAGGTTTCGTCTTGGTGTGCTTCTGGATTTGTGCGATGTAGGCTTGGGATGTGGGTTTTCAGGTACAGAAGTGTGTTGCCGTGTGATCTTCATCCCGTGATGATTCGGTTTGGACTGATCCTCGCTGTGACGGCCTCTCTATGCGTGAGCGCAGGTAATGTCTCCTGGTCAGGCTCTCGGTTGCACCCAAGGGGGATGTTTGAGCCTTACTTTTTGCAGTGCCAGGAGTTTCGCCCCTTGTGGTGTAACGCGCGCCTCCCTAGACACCCGAACCCTGGAATCGAGACCTTCAAACTCCAAACGATCAAGCTCCAGAGTCCCTACTTATGGGTAGTTTACAAGAAGGGTCACAAGGACCCTAAACAAGGGCACAACGGTTACTTCTAACCGTACTTTTTAACTACCCTTGAACCAAATGGGGGCCCTTATAGCGGGGACCCCAATAAGGTACCCCTAATTTCGAAAACCCCATATTGACCCTAAACCCTAAACCCCTAAAAACCCGATTGGGAAACCCCAAGTATTTTTACTCGTCCGAGGTGCAGGGGCAGTGCGGAGGTGCAGCCGGACCATGTCAGATCCAGTGAAAACTGCGCTGCTGGCCGTGGCACCAACCTTCAAGGCCGTCCTTCCAGGGCATGCCTCCAAGACCCGAAGCCCTCAGGGTTTAGGGTTTAGGGTTTAGGGCCCCTGAGCCTCAACCTCTGAACACAAACAAAGCTTAATTTGGAAACCCCTCAAACGTTCTAAGCCCCAAGCCGAAGCCCCCAAGCCCCGAAGCCCTGTCTCAACCCTTGCCACTTGCTTGCCAAGAATCTGGCTTGCGCGTGCGAGCTTGTAGGGCCTTCGCCTTCGAGGCAAGCTCATGCGGCCCTTCCTGAGGGCCAATTACAAAACCCTCAGGTTTATGGGTTTGGGGCGGCAGAGTTTCCATTGGTTGCAGGGATTAGGCGATTTCTTTTCTTGCTTGTTGGGGGGGCCACCCAAAAAAGGGATCGCAGCCTGAAGCCGAACTTGAGATGCTCATGGCCCTGGCACGGTGAAGGGCTCCTCTCAGGGCATCAGAACTTCGGTTTTAGGGTTTGGCAAGGGTTTTGTGGATCAAGAATGAGGTACCGGAATCCAGTCATAAAGACATGAGATGGCAAAAGGGTGCTATGCCGCATGGAAGAACAAGCACGAAAGCAGGACAGCACTCGGAACCATTGCTGTGTACGCGAAGCGGCTAGCAGGTGTGGTGCGCCGACTTGGCATGAGTATGACTCTAAACCCAAAGCCTGAACAGACGTCGCAGGATGTTCGAGGGCTTTGCATAACGGCGATCTCGATACGAAGGGCTTGAGATGAACTAGGAGACATGGTAGAGGAATTGATGTCATTCGCGTCCTTGCAGGCGACCCGAAAGAATTTTGAGAGTCTCCCCGCGCTGGGGAGGAGAACACCATGCAGAGCAAGGCGTGCAGCAAAAGAGTCTGCATGAGCCCTGGCTCAGGGATTTTGTGCGCTGCTATCCTTGAATCTCTGAGCCAAATCTGCGCAGAACCATGGTACTCAGACCATAAGCCTGTAGATGGTGGCCCTTGAATGCTGCTAGATGAGATCCTTGCAGTGGTCAAGTGGTCAAGGCACTTCTGCGCACAGTGCTGGGAATTGGGTTGAGGGCTTCGGGTTTAGGACGCAGAACACACCTCTGGAACCAACGCCCTGACAACAAACCAGTAATCAGTGACGGAAATCCAGGTCACGCATCCACTTAAAGCCCTTTGCACACAGAACTTGGCCTGAAACCTCGGGCTGCCTACCCATGCACCCTTGAGCCCTTTTTTGCAGCCGGACTGAGGGCGTTCCCGGAATCCCTAAACCCTAAACCCTAAATGCTAAACCCTGCCCTAACCCCTAACCCCTGCTTCCTACATGCTGGCCTTCTTGGCTACGCTCTTTGCCTCCTGGATCGACTTCTCGGCCATGGCCTGAGCCAGTGAGGTTTAGGTGGTTTCCGGACATAGGGTGGTGTTTATAGGATTCGGGTTGGCGGTTTTTCTTCTAGGATTCGGGTTGGCGGTTTTTTTTCGGTTTGGGCTTGGGTTGGAGAAGGATCCTAGGGCCTAGGGTCGGGGTCGAGGTCTCATCGTCGCAGCCGGCCGCGCCGCCACGCCCAAGGCGTTGCATCCGGGAGGAGCCTCGGTTCGGAACCTCCCGGAGCATGTACCGGCCTGGAAAGCTTCCTCGCGGCCTTTGGCTTGAACTCCCACCCGAAACAAAAATTGTACTTAAAAGACAGAATTATTTGCTTCGAACATCCCCACCCTCTCTGGGTACAGATACTTTGGGGTTGGGCACTCCAGGGGGCACTCTTTTGGGTTGGGCACTCCAGGAACACTTTAGGGTTGGGCACTCCAGGGACACTCTGGGCTGGGCACTGGGGCTGGGCACTCCAGGGACACTCTGGGTTTGGGCACTTCAGGGACACTGGCCACTCCAGGAACACTGCTCGAGTCTTTAGCTATCATTACCCGGCCCTCGGTGTGGGGCTGTTAGGTTTTAAACTCAACTCTTCCCCTCGCCCGGTCTACTCTCGCCCAACCCGCAGGGTGCCCAACCCCAGAGTGTCCCTGGAGTGCCTAAACCCCGAGTGTCCCTGGCAAAGTTTGGGGTCCTAGGGTTTCGGCTCAACCCCTCCGAGAACCTGGCCAGGTTTCCTGACTGGAAGTGCAGGCCGCCTTCCTGTCGGAGTTTGCGTCTAGCTCAGGGCTTCACAGGGTAGAGGGTATCCTAAATATAGGGTGGGAAGGGTCGGGCTTAAGCCCAGATTCGAGGCTGCCACACGCCCCAGCACTGCCGGAACTTTAATCAACCTGCCAAGCAGCAGGTGGTACGAGTATACCACTCCCCTCCCCCCCCCCCAACCCCCCCACCGGCAAAAAGCCGCAGACGACGCACTCTCTTTTGATCTGAAGCGTCGGGGAGAACAAATCCTTCACGTGAGGGACAAGCAGCTTAGCGCCACATAGGAAGCCCTCTCCGTAGCATTAACGTCGCCCCCGACATGTTCTGCCGGAGGTTGTTTCCGCTGCCAACCGCGTCACAGCTCCGTGCTCGTCATCCTCTTCCTTGGCAGCTTCGACAGCCCCAGCCCTACCCCTCTGATTTTTTTAAGGTGCTTGACCATGAGTTTTCCTTGCTCAAGAACGGACTGCAGCAACTCGACACGCTGTACAGCCATGCTCCCACACAACACGTGAGTACCCCCAAACAAAGCCCCATACCCCACAAACTCTAAACTCTGTCGAGTGTTTGGCTAGCAGCAAAGAACTCACTCGCAGAACAGCCATTTGTCAAGGGCTTGGGGCTACTACTGGTATCTTGAATAATTTCCTTGGCAGGAAGCATGTGCAAACATCTTGAGGGGAACAAGATGTCCCTTTTCGACTCGCTTGGGGAATGAGGCTCATTCAGGGGTTGGGGCTGTTGGCTACCTAGGGTTGGGCTTTAGGTACTAGCCCCTTCCCCGCCTTCCCCCCCTCCCCCCTCAGAGGCAACTCCTGGACGACCTTTGGGCCTGTTTTCCTAAGGTGCCCGCGAAAAGACAGACACTGCCCCTGCAGGCCTTCTGACTACGTCTTTTGCAAGGTCCCTGGAGTCCTGGGGTGTGGCATTTTGAGCTTGGGAAAGGTGTGACCGACGCAGGCTGCGCACCACATGTGCCAAGCGGCTCCATGTTTCAGCTTTTTGGTTGAGGCCGCGCAATGTCTGCACACTGGAACCGGACGCAGAAATGCGAATGGTTTCAGGAGCCGACATGACTGTACAGCATATGAATTCCATCCCGCGAGGTCGCCATGATTCACGCTTGTGCCACCACCACGATCACTAGTCCTGCTCCTGTTTTCATAGTTTTCTACCCAGCAACTCCTATCAAATTACAACCACAGCTGCTTCTACCTCTGTCTCTACTACCGCGGTGCTACCCAAAATGCACGCGGTCCGAGTTGCAACATGCCTCTCCCGGAGCAAATCATGGTCTTGGAAATTGTGTGAGGCGCTGCACACTCTGCGCAGCATATGAGCCCTTGAACCCGGGCGCAGGAATGCGTACGGCCACACAAATCAAAAACGAGCTTAACAGCAATCAAGCTGTAAGAGTCAAAATCCTGCCTTTGCAGCAGACGAGGTCTACCACCTCGCTTCGGACTGGCCAAGGGCCCACCGTTCAATGTCGGAATGCGTAACATCGGGCGGGATGAGTTCCAGACCACGTTCCAAATCAAGGCGCAGTGACTTCAGGTTCTGGACAGCATCACTGTTGCCATCTTCTGCGTTCAGTCGCTCAAGATCCTTGAGCTTCTCAATTCGCTCGAGCCTGTGCACCTCTTCCAGCTCGCTGCTTGATGGTACAGGCTGGCCATCTTCTACACCACAGGTACACACCACGAATGCATCAGACGCAAGGGTCCCCATATTGAACCGAAATGGGTTGCTCAGCGTGGGCACCTGGACGGCACTCTTCATGAGGCGAAGGACTCGTTCGCAGCCTAGTTTGTCGTAGGGCGCGTAGCCTGTGAACGCCGTAGGAGTCCGATGCTCAAGGAGCAACTGCAGGGTGGGGGCCCATGCTCCGAAGCTGCTGTCTATTCCTCCGTTCAGGACCAAGGCCAGATTGGCCGCGGGTGGGGGCGAGTCATGGTACCGGCGGGTGCTGACCTGGATCTTCAGCTGCGATCCACTCATCTCCATGGCCTTACGGAAACTGGCCTCGGCAATGTGGTCTCTGCCCAGCATCTCAGGCCCCAGCAAACCTACCTTGAGACAGGTAATTCGGCAAATGCCCGACAAAACGTGGATCATGAGCTTCAGGAGCTTCTGAAAGTCCATTGTTCCTTCCACGTGCCACCTGCACCCCAACAGGTGGAGGCGAAACGTTCCATCAAAGGCAACCAGCTGGCAAGCGATTTGGTCCCGAAGGAGAGCTGCACCAAGACCGATGGTGAAGGCCAGGCTGTCCGGCCTGGACCAGTACTCAGACAACATCGGGGTCGTGACTGGCTCCTTCCGCTGCATGCGGAAGCTGGGGTCAAGGCCAAAACGGCCACAGCAAAGGACGGCATCGAGGATGGCCGTGGCGACCACATCCGCATCCGCCTTCTCCTGCAGCCTACGCACGTGCTGATGATGCTTTGCTGCGCAGGCTGATCGGCTGGTTATCCGCGGGTTGCGCCCTTTCCTCAAATCGGCCTCTGTGGTAGATGCAGTAACAGCTCCACTTTCACCACTTGAGAGGAGGGAGCTCGGCACTTGAACGTCAATGAAGGTCTTGTGGATCGACACGGCACCTGGCATCTCAGCGCATGTTGTCGCAAAGCTCAGGGGCACTGTATCGGAGCTTAGCGCTTTGACCTTCAACCTCTTGGGGAGGCTCGCCACCAATGACGAAACTACATCCTCCAGCGAGGGGTCCAGGAACACATGCCTGCATGTGAAGCGACATCCAGTCATGCGTATGTGTTCCATCAAAGGCTGGTAGTGTACGGCCTGCACTAGCACCTTGGCGCCGCAATCGAGCACCACGGAGAATCCCCGCACTGCCAGAGCATCACGATAGGGTGCCAGCTCCGCTGCTTCCATGATCCTAGGGCTGTTCTGAACCCCCTACGCAGAAACCCAAAACCCTCTGTAGTTTCACGATTTCAGACTTAGAACAGCAAATTCTTCACGGTAACTTTCAGCAGCCTCGCGTCCCTCGAAAGAGTTCTTCTGGATGCCGGCTAAATGTAAGAAGCAGGATCGATTGGGACTCGGCGGCCATTGCAAAGTGGCTGATGTGGCCCTAGGCTTCCCCAGAGCTGTGCGCAAGGACCACAGCTGTCCATGTTGAGCCACCAAATGCAGCACAGACGACTTGCTCTCGGTGTTGTGGTTCCCAGGCCCACAAGCTGAAATCGAAGTGCAACGAGGTCTGAGCTAGTTTTCTGTGTCTTATTACCGGACAGCATGCTGCACCAAGAGTCTTCAAAGAGAATGCCATCCAAATCATTGTGTAAATACAAAACTTGTAGCTGCGATCAGGGCACTCTTGCCGGTCAAAGTCAGATGACGAGACTGGAAACCCCAAAAGCAAAGCTCCCCACTCCCCAAACCCTGATGCCAAGGAGCTTTTCCATGGACGAGGGCAGCTTGAACGATCCCGAAGGAGGGGATGACTGACCTCAGTAGTCAAGGAGGTTTACGGAAGGCTTGTTTGGATGACTTTTTTTGCAGAGCAGGCTTGCTGATAGCAAATGTGTGTCCAAATAGCACCCTACTGCAACCCCCGCCCCCCCCGCCCCCCCTCCTTCCCGGCCACCAACGGCAAGAACAACAACAAGAAGAAGCCCGCCTTGGTCATCTTTGCCTCGGCACTTGGCGTTCCCAGATTCCTGCACCTTGCGCGCGGCATGGCCAAGAACCCACGGGGCGTGTGGCAATTCGGGCTGGTAGAAAGGCATTACCTGTCGGGTGGGCAGGATTTGTGGGCTTAAGGTCGCAATGTTTAACCCTGTTTGTCCCCCTGGATGGACAGCACCTGACCTCTCACAGACGATATGCAAACAAGATATATGTAGACTAGAAGCTCAGAGCTTCCTAATGATTATACAGGAACCCTCCATGCTAAGCTTCAAAACGCCCAACTCACAGCCTCTTGTTTTGAAGGTTTATCAGGTCAACAGCCAACTTCGACTTGATGCATCAAAAACTTGTCGACATCCATGTCGAGGTTCTTCGACGAGCCCAAGAACATGCTTAAAATTGACGACGTTCCTGCCACGCGCCCAAAAAGTGTTTAAATTCACCGACGGTCATGATCACAGTACCGCAAGCAATATTTTCACAAAATGATTACAAGCAAGCTCTGGGCCTAAAAACCGCGGAAGCCCAAAGACTTTCAGCAGCCTTCTAACTTACATCCTGTGCCCGTGCCCCATAACATGTTGCATGTAATCAACAGTACAGAACATTCGTGATGACAAACTGACAAATGAATGAATAATAAACAACAAAATATAAATGTAAAATATAATTGTAAACATATATATATATCCATCCCCTCAGCTCGACTAGCTTCTGCCCTGGCGCTCCACAGAAGTGTGAGCCACCGACGGAGATGTGCACAAAGTGGTCATCCCTGCGCTCATTTTGGCGTTGCTTTGATCGCAAGGTGTGGTCTAGGCTTGGGCTTCATGGATCTACACAGTGCAGAGCTGCCCCCTCTATTCCTCATGAAAAGACAGGTGGCCAGTCCTCTGCTCAGCTTGAGGCCAGCAAACGGCGCGACCTCTACAGGACGTTTCGGGAGAAGACAGTCTTGGAACTTCCGGTTCGCAGTTTCAGGGGTTCAGCCCTCGCACTCGCACTACCCCGTCGAGGCAGTCGCCCCGGAAAAGCTTTCATTTCCACCAAAGCAAGGGACTGGGCTTTCAGGATCGAAGAATTGGGGCTGAGTATGTTTCATTTCATGCCAAGCTCAAACCCTGTCCCCAGAATAGGCCTCCAACAAACCTTAATTATATAATGTAGCATAGGGAACTCTATATACACTCACCAATGGTAGTATTAGCTTGTCTCATACGGGGTAGTATTGAAGCAAATGGGAGGCACAGATGCTACACTCCAAATCCTAAAGTTGGTGGATTCGCCAAACGCTTCCTGCTTCCCGGAAAAGGTTGGGGGAGCTCGTCAGAGGTGCACTTATACAACTATAACCCCAAGTCTAAAAAGATAGAATACCAAGTAATTATATGTTCTAAACCTGAACCGTATTATGTCAACATAGACGTGGACACACATGAGCCACCTTACTCAGCCCAGCCTGTCTGGTCCAAAGCACAGGAAAATGGTCCGCGGGATGAGATTTGCTTGAAGCGTCCTGCATGTCCAACGGCTGCTGGCTTTCGGGTTCTGGGCTTCGGGGAAAGTGCTGGAGAGCCTCTACCTTTTAAGAAGGACTCACCCCGGCGCCAGCACATCTCACACAAGAACCAACAGAATACGACTCAAAGACGTGACGGAACTCGGGTGCGCTGAGCCGTGGCGTGCCACTCCCTCTCCCCCCCACCCTCCCGGACTGCCCTTGGCATGTTCGGCTGGTGTCGGCCTGTAAGTGATCCGCCTTGACCCGACGACTCACTTTGAAGTTCAGAGGCCATTGTGGGCGGGCTGGCAGGGTGGGAAATTGCCGTGCAGCACGAAGCTCTACCGCTGCAAAACTTCTCCAAGGCTCCTGACCTGTGGTGCAGCTCTACCGCAATGCCCGAATCGAATACCCTTCCGTAAGGAACGCCCAGCATCTAAGTGCTAAACCCTAAACCCTAAACCCTAGCATCACGGATCAACCCGGTCCGGGAGGAGGCTTGTTGTCCCCTCGCCTTGGAGTCAAGGAACATAAGCCATGGTTTCTGAGCACAGGCCGCAGAAAGCATGTGATGGGCAACACGTATTTCCTGCTTTGCAGATGCTACAGTACGGTGCCATCGGCAGTTGCTGTAGCACTTGGTGTGGCCTGCTGAAAGTTCGGGTTTGCAGCCTGTCGACACCTCAAACCTTAGGCGATGCCGCAGACCCATCGGTCACAAACCCCCAAATCATGATGTCAACGCCCTGGGCTGCCGCACCATATCTCACCAAGAAAAACCAGAGAACAAACCCAAAAAATCCTAAACCACCCTAAGCCCCACAGAAACCAAAGCCCTATACTTTACCATGCTGAAATAATAACAGCCTGGAGTTCTGCCGGACGGCTTCTGCCCCCAGCAAAGCACCTCGTCCTGCCGAGTCAGCGCACAGGTGTGGAGATAGCCTGCAGAGGTCCAGGGTAAAAGGGTTCGGTACACAGGTTTTAGGGCCTTTTAGGGATTTGGAAAAAAGGGGACCCTTCATCTAGACCTCCAAGTAGAAGGATTTCAATAAGGTAGAAGCTGAGCTGCACCCCTCCAGTGAATGGTATCGCAGTTTTGTCTTGCCACCCACTGAGCAGCAAAGCTCCCACATTGCAGGATGATATTTCGGGACGATTGACAACTGAAATTCTCCATACTTGCTGTTGGTGACCAGGGAATGAGGGAATTAGGGCCCTATAATACCCTTTAAGGGATTATATAGGGTATAGCAAGCAACCGAGCCAAAACACACTCAAGCAACCCAAAAGGTACGATCAACTCAATACGCTGGCCGCGAGCTTGCTGGGTTAGAGTCCACTATGTTGTGTTTTGGGGATGCTCGGGGAGTCCAGTAGCCCGCAACCCTGAGCAAAGCTTGCGCTGAGACACCTGGAGCGATCTGCTTGAACTTGCTCTTGGGAACCTTGGGTAGACTTCGAGGACAGGAAACATGCTCCTCGTAACGCGCAAACTCCTACGCCGAAGAAGCATTCAATCAGTAGAAAGCCGTGCCGCAGAACAGTGCAGATCAAGAAGCCCTAAACCCTAAATCGTAAACCCTACAAGTCAGGGAATGAAGGAAAGTTTCTCCATGTCACCCCAGCACTGCAAGGTGTGACGCGGCGTGCACTGCGAAGTCAAGCTGCGTCCGTCTGGTTGTTGTCCTCAGACAGGTGCGCAGCAGCTGCATGTTCTCTTGTGGCCTGAGCCCCTAACGTCTTGGAGGAAGCCTTTGAGAACCTTTGAGAACCTTGGATTTGAGCCATGGGGGTTTCCGAAAAGTAGGGGGTACCTTCTTGGGGTCCTTTTTATGAGGGTATCCTACTATGTGGGGGTCTATATTAGGGGTCCCCTGTTCTCGTAAAGTCCCCCATAATTTCTCATATGCCATCTCAAGCATCGTTGAAGCCCCAGCACAGTGCACGGCCGCTCTTTTTGAGGGCGCAGGAGTGGCCACCAGAGGCTGCAATGGCGACGAACCTGCTTGGGTTTATCCCGGACCTCCCAACATGAGTGCATGCTGGACCCATCTCACGGCGACCTGCTTGGGTTGCGGGTGTAAGGTTTAAGGTTTGCGGCTTTGGTGGACTTATTGGAAAGTCTCAACTCGTTGTCCTGCCAGTTAGTGCTCTGTTGGCGTCTAGAATTGCAAAGAGAGTCACTTAAGGGACTTCCGTACTTGAGGGGTTCTCCTAAGGCGTTTTGGAGGGCGCGTATTCAGCCAAGGCCTACGGACTGGCAAGCCTTCATACCCCGAGTGCAAAAACTGGGATGTTCCACCCTTAAGACTAACAGTCCTTAATAGGGAGTATAGTCCCCCCCCCCCCCCCTAACTATAATCCCCATTAAGGACTGTGAATATAAGGGGGGAACACCCCATCCCCAAACTCTCAATGTAGTAGACCCGAACCTCCAAACCCTAAAAGCGCTTAACCCTTTTCGAAGCCTAAACCCCTTCCTTTCTTGGTTCAGTTCTCCTGGGGTGTCCTGCCTGTGAACGAGGGTGCAGTTCCCAGGCCCTGAACACCCCCAGGTGTCAAACTCTGAAACCCACCTACCGGATGGCGACCCAGAGCTGCGCTGATGCTCATCGCTGCCTGGTTGTTTCAAGGCGTGTAGGGTATATAGTCCCGTATATAGTGTAGGGGTTACTTCTAGAGTATAGGGGTCGTTCATCGGGGTCATGTAAGGAACCCAGGAAAGTCTGCGAGTTCGGCGCTCGTGCGTTAAAGGTTTCTTAGGATTTCGGGTGTCAGAGCTTCGATCTTGGTTTCGAAACCTCAGGGGTGCACGGAGGAGTGCATGGTCAATGACGGCACCACAAGCCGGTTAGAAGCAGCCAGCAAGTGTGCAATCATAGACACAGTGTGCGAAACTTACTGTGCAATCAAGA